CCAGGTGGTACACTGGCAGATGACATGATGCGTACAGATGTCTGCGTGTTTGCAGCCCAAGAAGACCTAGAGACCATGCAAGCATTTGCTCAGGTAAATGAAACTTAACATAATTGTTTTCAGTTAGCTACTATCCATGTGGTATATTTGAGGAATATTCTACTTTTAAGAGTGGTGGTTAGAAAGTTGAAGGAATTTGATTTTAAATTTTAGGGAGACTGTTCTTGGTGCAACGGGATGAATTAGAAACTTAAGATGTGTTAAGGTGAATAAAATAGGGAAAAATGAAATTAACTCTCCTGTTCCTATTTGTCCTGAAATTACTCAATTTTTAAGAAAAATGTCAAGCTAAAAAAGTCATTTTCGTATTGTGATTTCTCTAGTTTATCTGCATATATTTATTTTTAAAGTTAAACAAGTTGTGAGCTGATTAGCTTTTTAATCAAGATCTCATTGGAAAGTTTCGTATGTAGTTATGTTTGTATTATTTTAAGCAAAGAATTAAAGTACATCTAACCTGGACATTCTTCTGTGTCACTGGAAATTCTTCTCAAGCTGGTATAAACAGCTCATAAACTTATATCCAGTGAAAGGTTTACTACTTTGCTATTCTAGAAATATATGAAGTTACTGAATTCATTTCATGTTCTTCATAGGTTTTTAACAAGTTAATCAGGCGCTACAAATACCTGGAGAAAGGTTTTGAAGATGAAGTAAAAAAGGTATGAGGAATAAGGTACTTTGTGGAAAAGAAAAAAATAGGGTTAGAAGGAGGGAATGTTAAATCCTAATTCTCCCACAGATTTGGGGTAATTTTGTTTGGTTGGTTGGTTGGTTTTTTGGAGTGTCACTCTGTTTCCCAGGCTGGGAGTGCAGTGGCTCAGTCTCTGCTCACTGCAGCCTTCGCCTCCTGGGTTCAAGCAATTCTCGTTCCTTAGCCTCCTGAGTAGCTGGGATTACAGGCATGTACCACCATGCCTGGCTAATTTTCTATTTTTAGTAGAGACAGGGTTTCACCGTGTTGGCTAGGCTGGCCTTGAACTTCTGGCCTCAAGTTATCTGCCCTCGGCCTCCCAAAGTGCTGGGATTATCGGCATGAGCCAACACGCCTGGCCCAATATTGCATATAGATACCCAGAAAACCTGATGCGTTTATCAATGACCAGGCACTATTCGATACTAATTCACTTAATGTTTGTGAAAACCCTGTGAGGCAAGTTTTATTATCCACATTTTACATGTGAGGTGCAGAGGTTGAGTAACTTGCCGAAGATCATTCAGCTAATGAGTATTGTAGCTTAGATGTAAACTTGGATGGTTAGATCCCAGAGCCCACGTGTTGAACCAGTAGCCAGTATAACATGCTTTACTGTTTCTCTTAATGTAATGTAATTGCTGTTTTAACCCTTAACTGTTTTACTTTTTACAGCTGCTGCTGTTCTTAAAGGGTTTTTCAGAGTCGGAGAGGAACAAGCTGGCTATGTTGACTGGTGTTCTTCTGGCTAATGGAACACTTAATGCG